AGCAAAGTCCACTCCCTGTGCATGTATACATATGTTTTCAGCAGAGGATGTTGTAATCGCTGCCTTGTCTGAAATTTAGCAATGCTTGAACGTCAATATAACCTAAAATTCATTCTATTTTCTTTCTCATTTACAAAGTGCAGAAAACTCTGACTAAATACATAATAAGTAATGCAATCTTCACGTTATATCTATAAGATCAGATATAGCAGGAAATGCATTGACTAAAACAACTATGCACATCAAATGATACATGGCTGCAAATAAGTGGTTATTAGGCACGTATACTGTCGAAGCCTTCATACGGATCTATGTGTCCAAACATACTTATAACATTCATTCATATATTATGTATTAATTCAATAACGGAAAACAAACATATCATAAGTACGCAAAAGTCACAGTACTATTTATTATCATATCAATAATGGTAGTACCACCGGCGGTAAAGTCAAGACGGTTGATTTTGAATATATTATTGCTTAGTTTGTGGTATGCGTTGTAATACCAAGAACTGACCCATTGTGTTCAGCGAACTGTAGATATACTATTCAAAAGAAGTTAAGGATATGTCGTAAAGCGTTAGATCTCCAATCATCAGTCAAGGATCGCCGGATCCTTTCACATAAACACAGGTTTAATGTCATGCCTTGGCTGATTGAAAATATTATTGTGAAAACTGTCGTGTTTTATAGAAGTTCTTTTGAGCAGTACATATAAACACATTGCAATGCCGAATAAAAATGTAGCTGAAATGGTTATATTTGTGATGTTGCAGATTTTGATGATGATGATGATGATGATGATGATGATGATGATGGTGGTGATGATGTTCTTGAGAGGCATATAGAAGTTCAAGTATAAGACAAAATATCATGGATGCCAAGTTCTTTATTGTATGCACCAATAAAATAAAGAAGAAGTTAACATCCATGATATTTTGTCTTATACATGATGATGATGATGATGATGATGATGATGATGATGATTTGGGGATTTAAAGTGCGCTTTCAGACTTAATGTGTATTTCGCACACGTGTCCGCCATGCCGTTTAGTGTTTGTTTGAAAGAGAGGTGATTTGACCGAAAAGTATGGCAACCTGAATCGGGCGTTAGGATTTCAAAATTAAATAAATGAATTTTGAATTTCGAAATTTGCCAGAAGTGGTATGGAGTGAACTGCGGGATGGTTTGGTTGGTTCTTGTGTTGTTCATGTATGGTTGTTTTCTCTATGTTAGCACTAGTTGGTTGTGTGGGATCACGTGCGACCTAGGAGATTGTAGTTATTTGCTTTATTTAACGTCGCACGCACAACTAAGGTATTTCGGCGACGGGGAGATTGTGCGACCGTCGGTATATTTATACCACAATGTACGCGTGGGTTACACCACCCCCACAACGGCTGTGGCGTCCCGTTCTGCACATTCATTGAGACCACGTGTACAATGAGTAGTGATGCCACGCCAAATAACGGCTTTAGCTTTCTCTATTGTGAACCTGTCTGTGTTCTTGCACTTCGCCCATCACTTGCACTGTATACCATTAGGCTTAAGGGGGTGAGCCAGGACAACGAGCGGTCTCCCGTCATCTTGTATTTAAAGTAGTGTTTAGTGTAGCCCATTATCTTAGGTTTTGTGTAAACCGTTTACGTCAAGAAGGCCCGCGGCAATTTTCGATTCTTTTCTGTGTAAGTGCGTATATTTGGGATTAGCTGGAGACAGTCGAATACTTCTCCAGAATTAATGTTTGTTGTTATCCGTTGTCTGAATATTCAACAGAGGCGGTACTCCATCTAAACGTAGTGATCATCAACGACTGGACAAGATGTATATGGTTTAAACTATATTTACAAAAGAGAAGAATTTACAAAATGTAAATAAAGAGAGTCCCAACACCCAACGCTTACTCGTTGGTTGTTAAACTTTGCCCGATATACAAAATGTAAATAAAGAGAGTCCCAACGCCCCTTTTTGATATGTTCCAATGTCTAATAAACTAATTGATAGCTAAGATCACAGTGCTCATTCGTCGACTGCATTTTACTACTCTGAAATTAGAAATTCGACTAAGTGGTATGCGGCCATTTATTTCAGAAAGAAATTGGATTGGTCAACAGGCATATATCAAATATATATGAAGACCTCTCCCTATCAAAATAACATCCATGAATAACACGCTTGCAATCCTGAAGATGAGTGAAATGTACATATTACAGTAATTTGCATATTTTGGTAATGCAAGAGTAGGTCCAGTTATGTTACTGTAATATTTCATGTAAAGTGTACTCTTTTATATATTTTTTTTAAATAGGCGGTGTCTGTGTGCCTATCCCATCCTCTTTGGGAAAGAAATACTGTTTAAATCAAATCACATTTGTAACAGAATAAATATTTTATAAAATAATTAGCCTCGAAAAATATATTCAATAATTGTAGATCTTGTAGGTTATTATTTCAAAGCAACACGATTTTGATACTGTATATAGCTCTTGACGTATTTCTGACATTATCTTATAGATTAGTATTTCAAAAGAACACGATTTTGAAATTACAGATCTTGACGTAAATGTGACATGTCGATCTAATATCACAATAATTCAAACACTGGTATAGACAACGAAGACTGTCTTCTCGTTTTGATAACCAGAGCTGATCTTTACGATAAAATCTGTACATTTTGTGGCGTTTAAGTTAATGTTACGTGTTATATATATTTAATAGACATAAAGGACTGAGCCGCTCCATCTACAGACTATAAATGTTTATACCACGCATAGAGTACATTAATATCATGGACATATAATATAAGAGTACATTCAGTATAGTACTAAAGGCTTCATTATGGTCGGGAGTAGGACTGTAACAATTGTCAATTTTGCGCATTCAACAAAAATGAATGTCCATGAATGTATTGAAATAGTAGCCTTTGTTTATAGCGTGTATGAATGTTATTATAGACATTTAGAAATCATATCAGTTTAGGGCGAGGAGTGGCAGATCTTTATACCTTTTTTCTTTACTTGTCCAAGATACATTAATTGAAACTCGAAATAACATGTACTTTTAACAAAAAGGATACACATTACATTCTGTATTATTCGCAGGCGCTCATGCAACTGCACTTGTAAATATGCAGATTCTTAAATCGGTTCATTTGTTTATTGCAAACTCCGGCAGACTGGACGCCCTTTTCACAGGATAAAGTGATTGTTTACTTTCTATACATGATGTCGACATACTATATTTCGTATGTACTAAGAATAGCTTGTACATGACTAACGACCAAACTATGTAATCATTATTTGTCTTTGTAAGGGAGAGGTGTGGCATAAGCTTATAGCTTGTTCACCGATCCCTATTCAATTTTGGTTGAATAAAAATATGTTTAAACCATCTTTATACCTTTAGAATCCCTCACTGATAAAAATACATCCTGATGGTTTTCTATCTAGTTTGAAGTTAAACGCGAGAATTAATGGATGTCAACGTCTTTATTTTGAGGAACACGACGTTTCGGGGTATCTTCATAGTGCTTCACCAGGTTAATAAAAAAATGATGATGATGACGATGATTTGGAGATTTAACGTGCGCCTTCCAACATCATGCGTTTTTCGCACACGAGCCCGCGGTCATTTAGTGTTTGATCGAAAAATGATAGGAAACAGATACATGTGGAACAACAACAGAGATATCACTGCTAAATGTCGATGAAAGAGCTCAATAAAATTTGAATTAATTTCTATATGCAGCATTGAAATTTCCTGTCCTCGGCATGAGATGACACCCCACACAACAAATGACGCCAGGTATGATACAGGGCGTTGAACAAACATGTTACGTAACGACTCCTCGATTGGGGCTTTAACAACTGCATCCTCGTAAAGGTGTTGCGATGTGTTTGTAATACAGACCCGTACTTCCGGAGATCAGTTTCTAATTACTCTGTCTACTCACTACAGGTATCGGGGCAAGTAGGACAAAGTGAATGTTATATAACCAGGCCAAAACAGAGTCAAATTATTGGCATTCCTTGTCCTATTGAATATTTGCAATTACAAGACTGTGTATGATATAACAAATATACATAACACGAATATATATAATATAAATATTCCATATTCAATCAAACAGCATCAGGATATAAAACCTTTTTGGGTTTGTCACAAGATTCCCAACTTCAGGTTCTCATTAACACAGTGCAGGTTACAAAAAAACCAACTATGCTTGTGGTAAACGCTTCCAAACATCCGTCGTGTGAGGTGCGTTATTTCAATTATTTTTTTTTTACAGATATGAAATTTCCAAATAGGCAGATATATGAAGTAAATAAATAGGCAGGAATGGTAGAGCTTGATTATACCAAGTAGCGTTTGTCCCTTATAAGTTGGACAATTGAAAGTATACACTTGAAAATAGTTGCCAAATTACAAAATGGTTACTGTATACCATAAACATACGTATATTCGTGTGTACGTATTACCCGCCATCACATTATTCATGTATTTATTATGATACAAAATAATAAAGATATGTGTGTTTTTCACTTACATATATTCAGATCATCCAAGAAACTAAATGGAAATCGTGATGGGTTGAAATTCGTAGTTTTATTTTGTCATGCACTTAGAATTAACATGTGCTTTGTCACGAAACTAATTAATGCAATATGACATTGTATTCAATTAGGTCTGAGACAAAATTCTAATTAGAGTCTAATTTTGAAACGTAAAATTACCATCCAAGCGATCTTTCATTAACTTCTAATATTACGCGCTTTGTCCGAAATAGAACTTAGCTGCTATGAAAACAGTACAGGTTGATTGCATATTGTCTAAATGACATGGTATTCCCGATGTGTCAAGGCGACAGAGCGAGTTTACATTGGCTGAGAAGTGATTGCTCAACATGCTAAGGATTTGCTTGATCAGATCGTGGCACGCGAGCATGTGCGTTGGTTAAATATCCACAGTCCGGGCCCCTGTCAAAACCGCCCGAAACCGCATGCGCAGTGCTTCTTTCACATCTGGAAATTTGAACACGGCTGGGTGACGGACTAACCTACTATCTACCCCAGGGTCGATCCAGAGTCTCGCGACTGAAACGGGGAGTACTGTTTCCAGGGCGGTTTCACATTTTCAAATTGCATGGATCCAAGAATTGCTTGGTATCCACCGGAACAACTGGGACATGCACATGATCTATGGACGAGAGTCTGGGAAGCTCAGATAGGCGTGGACAACATGTATTTGGGACCAGACCAGAAAGATTTCATTCCTTTGGATGGGGGTAATTTCGACAACCCCAACATAAACAACAAAAAGAACATTGATGTAAATAACCATCATCACCCACAGAAAAGGAAAAGAGAGAACCGGGCGAGTACGTACGGTTTAAATCACTCTACTTACAAGCACCTATTGGGTGAAGATGGCGGCCTCACCCCCTGGAAACCCAAGGACAAAAATTACGGCCCCGCAGTTATTATTGGGTAAATATCCTAAATGTTTACGATTTATTATGTTTCAGTGATATATATTCTGTACGTCTAGTCTTCGTTTATATATTTTAAGAACTGCATGTGCTTTCGAAAGCTGTCATATCTCGCCGGTGGTTGCACAACAACCTGGCGACACACGCTTATTCAGCCAAATTCATGGCTTCCAAGATAACAAACAGGCCATATGTAAGCTTTCCAAGAATCATATGTACTTTCGTTTCGTTAGAAGTGTATGATATCATAAACTAAGTGAAGTATTTGTCGAATAAGGCTGTAGCGTTGGTACAAATTTGTAACCCTACTGCCCACGCATTAGCCAGAAGCCTTGACATTGTCAATCGCTTGGCGAGCCATTGAAGGAAAGATTCCGTGTAAACAACCACGATGACCCTATTTTGACAGCGAGGGTCGGATGGAGAGGCGATGTTAGAATCCTCGTGTCGAATTAGCGTTATCAGTTTCAGTGTGTACAAGTTATTTAAGCAATTGTAGATAATCTCGTTCATTTAGGAGGACCGTTAGTATGAATAGGCATGCCGCATTGCTTTCCGCTCGGTTGGTTATATAAGTTGTAAACATGGCATTTGAGGCCGATGTGGGATGGATGTTCAAATTTGTTTGCAAGTTGACATCGTAAGTGTGTATTTGTGTACAGCTTATGATCAGAATGTTATTATTAATAATTATGATGTTTCTTTTTCGAAGAAATTGATCATGTTTATGTTTTTAACAGAATGTATGACAAGTAATAACGTGATAAAATGTGCTTTTTGATTATTCAACGTTCAAAGTCTCTTGGCAGATTCTAGCTCGTCATAATGTGACAGTATAATTGGTAATTGGTATTATGTACAATAAATATCAAGACTATTTCTAAAGGTAAATTGACAGGACAAAATGATCTTATTGACCTAATTTCAACATTTGGTAAGAGTTTCTCCCGTTCCCCCATCCCAAATAATATTTTCATGAAATTCATCAAGGTAAAAATGTCACTTGTTTTGTTGTTGGTTCCACAAAAGTGATAATATGTGAATAAAGTTTCTACTGAGCATGTCCAAATATACAAAAATATGTGCAGTCTGTTCACACGTCAGAAAGTTGGACGCTTATGTATTCCGAAATTCTAGGTGAGTAAGTAAAGATGTAGGAGAATATAAGATACAGAAAATACATCAGGATATTGCTCCTTTTGTTTTAAGATTTCTTGTTTGTTCCTTGAGTATGTTAGAAGCAATTTATATGAATACAGTGTAGAAATAATCATTCTGATATCTGAATGAATATAGAGACTTCCATATTTCCTTGTGGCACTTATTGCTCAGATAAACCCAAAGAAAATGAAAGATGAGAGTCAGTAGTAGTTATTTGCTTTATTTAACGTCGCTCCCACAACTAAGGTATTTTGCCGACGAGGTAGTACAATGTACACGTATTAAGAATGAGGGGGAACAAAAAATGGAAATGAGAGTCAGATACTGGATGTAAATCTTATATGATGTAAAACAGTTTGTTATTTCTTGTGTATTGGATAAATGTTAAAGTGAAAAAAAACTCCGGCAGGCTGTATTTAATATTGGTACCATGAAAATTGTGTTGTTTCAGTCTACACAATGAGATAAAGGACTTCTTCCACTACATGTCTCCGCGCCCCGAGGAGGAGAGGATGAGACAGGAAGTGGTTGACCGAATCAGGGGAGTCATACACGGACTCTGGAAAGATGCCAAGGTAACAATATCTGCCAGTTTACAACTAGCAACAAATCCAGTATGACCAACTTATGTCGTAGGTCACCAGTGATTTATAAATTTTATCTTGACCTAGGCTGGAAGTAGGCCCCAATATTTTAGCAAATGTCATTAAAAAAGGGTTTTAAAAGCTACTTTGTGTTGGTGAATTTAAGACAATAAGAACTTTAAGAAATTCCAATTTGTAAAAAATTAATGATTTAATAAACATCCCATCAGACATGCTTACTATGTCAACATGATCAAAAGCCCAAATTTTTGCTATTCAGTCTCTCTTTGGAATATTCTCTGGTATAGATTGACATTTATTACGACTGATTTTTTGTAGATGTCATTTGTCAAACCATTTGTATCCTATATAGCATTAATTGGTCAGACATGTTTAACATGTACACCGTAGATGGTTCAAAAGCTCATTGACATATCAAAAGTGGCACCTAAACATCGAAAACCATCCTCACTGGAGGTTTTTGTGTGATACTGACTAAACTGACTAAACAGGGATGAAGTGGTAATGTGTGACATTATTTGTTCTTCCTGAATTCCCCTATAACTTATGCTGCTGAACTCAAGTTTGTCTGGTGCAGTCAGTATTAATATGGTGATCTTCAATACACATTTTCTCCAATAAGCAATCGTTCGAGTGAAAACAATATTGTTAAGTTTCCCTGGCATCCTTATCAGTGGTATAGAAATGTTGCACGCTAACTTTTACCAGATACAAAGGAACTTAAGTTAAACATTACATACAGTTCATGCATGTAACAATCCATATATACAATGCTTGCTTACCATGGAAATGAGTGAGCCACTCTCAATATGAAAGTAAGGGGTTAGAAATGTAACATGATTAATGAATGGTCATTGTTATCATTGTTCCATACACATTTGGGGCCATTGGATAGTCGAATGGTTAAAGCATCCACTTGTCATGTTGAAGACAAGTTTCGATTCCATACTCATGCATTCTCTTTTTGGGGGATGAAAACATGTTCAGATGATGGGAAGCATATATTAAACAACTTAAAGAACTTGGGATATGGGTTATATCAGAATATTGTGCATTTTATTCAAATGAACCATATCTCGGGACCAGCGATAAAAATAATGGCCTACCTGTCTGCCCGAGGCTGGCAATTTTCCTGTTGGGCTGCCTGAAAAAAATCTCCACCAACCTGATTGTATGAAAAACATGCGAGAAGATATATTTGAGGCAGGTATCGCCTTAAACTTTTGCTATTAAATTTTTTCAGAAAATGTATCATTTCATGATGTAAACCGATAAGTGGAATTGCAAGTTTAACAGGCTCTTTTCGAATGTCACAGGCTGGGGATGTGACTGAGTGTTTAATTTCATGCTTGTTGCTTTTATTTTGCTGAACTAATTTGATACTTGTTTGTTTTTGTAAAAAAAAACTCAGTATGCTATCTATAGTGTTTAATTTCATGTGCGGGCAGGCAGCGTTCAAGGATACTTGGGCAGGCAACATTTAATGGTCACCTGCCCGACTGCCTTATTGAGTTGGAAAAATATTTCGATCACTGCTCAGGACTATGTTGTTGTATAAAGTGAATCGTAATGAACAGACCCTTGAAGATCTGGGGTAGAATAGGTCTTCAGCAACCCATGCTTGCCACAAAAGGCGACTATGCTTGTCGTAAGAGGCGACTAACGGGATCGGGTGGTCGGGCTCGCTGACTTGGTTGACACATGTCATTGGTTCCCAATTACGCAGATCGATGCCCATGCTGTTGATCACTGGATTATCTGGTCGAGACTAGATTATTTACAGACTGCCGCCATATAGCTTGAATATTGCTGAGTGCGGCTTAAAACTAAACTCAGTCACTTGTAATGAACACAAATGTTTGGCGTCTTATCAGAAAACAAAATGTGTGTGTGTGTCTGTGAGGACATACTTTGTAAAGGCTAATTTTCTTTACCCTAGCATGATCAAAATGCCCTGTTCAATGTTCATAACATACTAAGTTGTATCTATGTTCACCCTCAAATTATGATATTAAGTTTCAATACAGTAACTTGACAGCTGTTTTGGTAACAAGTGCCTGGATACTTGCACTGTTTTGGTAAACAGATGATACTCTATAGGATAATTTAAGAAATGCCAGTAACAAAAGAATGGAATATGCTTGTTAGTGACCAGTTATGGTACAGAGTAGCTCTTGAACTTTAAAGAAGAATGATCCATTAATTATGCAATGTGTACCAATGCTGGGTTTGAAATACCCCATATATTAGTGTGCCATGGCACGGTAAATACAGAAATGGCACGGCTAAAAAATGTTCTCGGTGCCCTTTTGACATGCCTAATGTTTTAAGAGAACTCACATTTAGTCATTTAATCCCCAAAACAATTATTTTTTCCAAATTGAATATTACCATACATATCTGAATGCTCATAAACCCATTTCTTTATTTAACAATAAATTTCAAATGATCATCATCATTGTCATTTATTCTAAAAACTTGTGGGCATACTCGATTTCAGAAAGGCACACCTAAAATATTTGTCTGGTGCCTTAAGGCACACTTAGAAAAAAAAGTATTTCTATCCCTGCAATGACATTGTGGTAATAATACCCCAGGGCTCAGTAAATGTATCTGATTGTCTGTTTAGTTTTGTAAGCAATACATAGCAATGAATGGCATTCATCATACCAGCTGAGAAAGTCCATTTGCTTGTCTCCTACAATTGGTTTTCAGCAACCCATATGGGGGGGTCAGGGGTTATTGCTCACAGATTTGGTTGTTGCTCGTCATATATCCCAATTGGGAAGATCAATTGATTGTCTGGTCCAGGCTTCATTACTTACAGACTACCACCATCATATATCTTACATGGTTTTAAGTGAGGCACTAAATAAACGACTGACAAATTCAGTGAAGATTTTGTAACCATTGTTACAAAAAAATATCTCGAAAAAGGGTTTCGAATCTAGAAGGTATCAAGTTGGTTAAATCATCATCATGGCTGGTATAAGTCAGCCCTGGAATATTACTTTGCAACTAATGTGAATTGTGTCATTTCTACATATTATTAATTGAGTCTACTATTCTGTTCTATTTTGTAGGTGGAGATCTTTGGGAGTTTTAAGACTGGTCTGTACCTCCCTACAAGGTTTGTACTGATATAGTACTGGTTAGTACTGCACTACATTGTCATACAAATCATGTTCAAGTTAACAATATCTCCTCAAATGAATTCCTGTGAAAGTATTTCATATTTTAGCAAGCAAGCTACCTTGTCTGTCAGTAAAAAGGGGTGGTGGGGTAGTCATGCCGAAGACCTGGGTTCGAATCCCCACATGGCTACAATGAGTGAAGCCCATTTCTAGTGTCCCCCGCCGTGATATTGCTGCAATATTGCTAAAAGCGGCGTAAAACCAAACTCAGTCTGTCAGTAAGTCAGTCAGTCAGTCAGTAAAAAAGTATGTGTTGGTAGTAACATCCAGAAGCAGAACCGATTTGGAAACTTGCGTTCTATCTAACTGGAAGGTATTATGGTACCATGGATTTATTTTCTTAAAACACGTTTATATTTTTACAACAGCTTGTAGGATTTACATTTTAATTTTTTGTTTTGCTGCAACAATGGATACCATATATTACATGTGAAACAGACATGGTTCCTGTGAAATATTTAAACTAAGACAGTTCTGATATTTGCTTATTTGTATATGAAGTGAGAACATTAAACTCGACCAATATTAGAACTGTGGTGTTATTTTCAGCGACATTGATATGGTGGTGACGGGCGAATGGGAGTCAATGCCGCTGTGGACATTGCACTCAAAACTTGTTGAGAAGGGAATTGCAGATATTACCAACATCAAGGTGCTAGATAAAGCCTCCGTAAGTCGTTTAATCTTCCCATTTCCAACCACTTTAAGACTTATTGTGAATAAAGAAATGTATTGGAGGGCAATAACTCTTTGCAAGAGAACATTGCACACCACAAGAACACTTCTGGCTTTCTTCACATATGAATATGCATCTGAGTAAAAAATTAAAAGATTTATTGCAGGTATGCTACTAATTAACATTGGAAACTCTTGTACAAAAAATATTGATGATACTATGAATGTTGTACGCCTTTGACTGAGGCTTGATTGTTCTGTTGCAGGTCCCTATAGTGAAACTGACTGACAATGCCACAGAGGTGAAGGTTGACATCAGCTTCAATATGGTTCAAAATAATGGCGTTGAAAGTGCTAAACTTATCAAGGTATGTATCACTTGGTTTGCAAATTATTTAAGATCAGGTTAGGGCAACTGGTTTGCATGCATAAAAAATATTGCTCTTACAACATACTATGCTAAAAAATAACTTGTTGATTACATCTGTGTAGATTGCTATACCAAGGAATTCTGTCCACCTGTCCTAAGACATTTTTGTCAAGATTTTTTTTTTTTTAAAAGAAAGGCCATTTAAAAACTTAGAAATGTTCGTTTAGCCAATATCTTGGATCTGGATCTAAACAGCAGTTAACTTAAATCATTTATGCGATATTGAAGGTACTTATGGGTTGACATCAATAATTGCAGGAATACATGGCCAAGTATCCCAACCTCAAGTATCTGGTGCTAGTGCTCAAACAGTTCCTGCTACAGCGAGACCTCAATGAGGTGTTCACCGGCGGGATCAGCTCCTACAGCCTCACTCTGCTCACTGTCAGCTTCTTACAGGTGTGAACTTGCAGTCCTTGACTAGATTCTTTGGGATCCTGGGGTAGAGTAGGTGCTCAATACCTCATGGGGTCTTCAGCACTTAACACAGCATGGTTTTCCAAAGTTGACATCCTATGTCATAAACACCTTGACCACCCATGTGTTTCGGTTGTGGCCAGCACCATATTCTTTTCCCAAAGACAAAATGCTGATGCAGTTACTCCATTTTTGTATGGTCTTTGGATACAGGGCAAAATATAACTATTTGAAAAAGCCTGTAATTTTGACATTTTCCCCTGCAAAAGCACTAATTGCCAGTGACATGTCCTAAAAGGCCCTAAATTTAGCATATCTTGTCAAATTATGATTTTTACAAGAAAATAAAACCTGTAATGCCTGTTTGCTGGTGCATATCTCAGTGATAATACAAAATGTCTCACATTGTGTGTTACAGCTTCACCCCAGAATAGATGCTCAGCTGCCTGAAGCCAATCTTGGAGTTCTTTTGATTGAATTTTTCGAACTGTATGGACGAAATTTCAATTACCTGAAAACTGGGATACGTGTAAAAAATGGAGGTGAATATGTCCCCAAAGAAGACATAATCCGAGAAATGGAAAATGGCTACCGTCCATCCCTACTGTGCATTGAAGATCCTTTGACCAAAGGTAAAAGGGAGATAACTCTTTCTCATGTTTCTAAGATGTATTTTTAAGAACTAAATTTGGACTGGGATGGTTCCAGATGTACAAATTGTTGTTACATACAAGCTCTTACTACTATACATGAACTAGAAATGTCTATTTTCTCTTTCTTACAAAACTATATGATGCTGTATTTATTTGCTATGACAGCTGTCATGACACAGGTACCAAGGAACCATCCCTTTACTCAAATACTTCTCATGATTGCCGAAATACACTTCCTACAAATTTATTATTGGTAAACAGATGAATATGTTACAAATTGTACATAAGTGATTGTTGAAGAATTAGATCAAAATGTTTCTCTCACTCAAGTAACATTTATTATGTAGGGGTGTAAAATTCAGAAAACCAACATGACTTCTTTTGTGTCCACTCAAATTTGTCTCACCTTGTTTGCAAACTCCACTGATTTGTGCAAATATGTTTCATTTGTTAACAGTATGTCAAGGACATGTTTTGTCTACGGCATTGCTGTATGAATACAAGTTATTTCAGAAACACATGACATGAGTCACGTTTAACTGTTTTCTCCTCAGGAAATGACATTGGCCGCAGTTCATATGGAGCAATGCAGGTGAAGCAAGCCTTTGAGTATGCATACCTGGTGCTCAGTAATGTCTGTGTCCCCCAAAATGCATATCTTGTCCGTACTGGCAATCAGAGGTATGTAAGCTTTACAAGCTTTACATGCATGTAAATATACTGATGAAAACAAATAGGGGAACACATGTTAGTCTAGTTTTCTTTTCCAAGTTTCTTTGCATGCCCTGTATTTCATTGCATGTGAAAATAAGGAACACTTGTACCTTCATATGTTCCGTTTTTCATTTCCATCTGTATATCTGTTTATTATTATGTACTTATTATAATAATCATTGCAACAATATTTTTATATGTCAATGTAGTATAAAAGAAAATAGATTCTCCTGTCTGCCGTTTCAGTCTCCGCTTGTTATAGCTAAATATGTAAATCCTGAAAGGAAGGAATAGACATAACATTACATATTGAGGTGTAGCATCATCAAATTAATAAAATTCCAAGCATGATTTTGATTTTATCTGATTGAGAGTTATAAAATATACCAACCCTGTGAGCCCTATTTTGATTATTTTGATGCCTGTCCACAGCATACTGGGTCGTATTGTGCGCGTGACGGATGAGGTCGTTGAATACAGAGCATGGGTTCAGGAGAACTTCCACTGTCAGGAGATTCCCCCGTGTAATCTCAACCCAACATATGCTAGTGTCGTAGCTCCGCAGATCCCCCAGTTCAGCATACAGTAAGTGATCCAATGTTTGCAATGTTTTCTACACGTCAATAAGTCTTAATTCAGTAGGGACTGAACAAATTTCTTGATCCATGTGCTAGTCCAATGCATAAAAAAGTTCATGTTTTTAAATGGTTGTGAAAGGCGTTGAGTCCAAAACTGAAAATTGTTCCTGAACTGACCTAAAATCTCAAGTAATATTCCAGAATCCTTTTAACAGTTTGCACTCTTTGCATTTTTGAAGAAGTTTCATCCTGTATTTTGTCAGTCTTTATGATTTTTCATCATAAGTTAGCCATCTTCCCTTATTTGCATATATCATGGAGTACAGTTTTCCTGTTCAACATTACATGTCTGTATAATTGTGTGTTCTAGACAACGTAACAACAGCAATAACAACAACAGTAACAACAACACACCGTTCCTACACAAACCTAGTCTGGAGCAACAGTCAATGGGTGATAGTGAGAACTCGGACTACTCCGGGAACAGCTCTGGCTACAAGTCCTCCGCAAGCTCCAATGCTGTAAGCTCCTCCGCCTCCAGCACAACCAGCGACACAGTAAGTAACAACTAAACAGTGGAGATTACGGGTTAAAATAGGCAGTATGAGACAACTTAAAGAGGATAGTAATGCTTGGTGAATTGGCTGATGGCCTGCATCGGACACAGGCCATTGCATACAATATGGTTCAGTGAATTGTTTGTTACTGCCGTTCGGCTGTGATGTTTTAGAAACCAAATATTTCTTTGTACAGAGTTACCAAGGGTTTTAATAGGCTCTATATTTGGCCTTTCAAGATGTTTGTTTAACAGCATACTCATGTCTTACTTTAGTCTGAAGGAGAGTGATCATAAGCCCAAATATTGACCCAAAATAATGTCCGAAATGTGGAAACTGTCTCCACTTTGACCTTGGATGTAATAAACGTAGTTAATATACGGCTTTAATAACAACAATATTGCTGCACTCAGGTGTTTATGTAGTGTATTGCTGAATTCATAATAATATAAAACTCCTGAAATTAATTACCCTATGACATTAGTAATGTGCAAGATTTGACTAATCTTAATTAATCTTGCATCCCGCTGTAAGATTATCATTAATCCAGTTGTAGCTTGATTGTATGGATCATGTTTCATAATATGTTTCCTTTTTATTCCAGGATTCGGATACAAACCCTGATTCTCAAGTCCCTATTGTGCGTGGTGGTGCTGTGAAGCCGGGACGTGCAAGTTCTGTGCCTATGCCTAATCGCGAATTCGGAAGCAGGGACTATCACAAACACAATCCCCCTATGTCAAGAGACGCTAGTAACAGTAGTGTGTCCTCCACACGCTCACTCACCTACCCTCATAGGTCACCCTCAGTGTCGAATAACAGTAACTATCATGCCCCCTCAGGGGGTTCGGACCTGCAACATGGCCGTGATAGGCACCACAGTGGAGCTTCGTCGGGCCAAGGCAAGACATATCGGAACCAGCATGTTACCAGCAAGGTCTTCAGGCCCAGTGGGGGGAAACGCCGGAAAAACAACAGCAATCGCAGAGACAATCCCTCCAATTCTGGGAACAATCACAGATGATAGTTGATAAATGTGCTACTGACTGAGTGGGAACTTCACCAGTGAATGTGTGCTAAGCTGCATGTGTGGAGCCTTCTGATTGGTTGGATCCTTTTCACTGTCTCTGTGCATTTGCGACATTGTATATTTTGTATATTTTTTATGATGTGTGAGTGAGATCCGTGGGGTGGCCGTCTGCCTGCCTGCCTGCCTACCTACCCTGCGTGAGTGCCTGTTCGTGTGGAGACGTGCTTACTGTGCGTTGATGTAAATACTCTGACATGGGAACTGTGATCTACTGTACCAACAGAAATGGCAGCCCGAGGTTTGTCCGATTTGACCTGCAATGATGGAATCTCATTGGCTGGCAATCCATTGCCCTCTCGTGATTGTAATTGCAAACCTTGGCTTTTTGAATTGGTGCACTTTATCTTTGATTTCTGTCCTTTCTCGTCAGTGCCAACGTTGACCAACGTAATGATACAGCCACGGTCTGGTTGTGTGTTTGTTTCTACTTTCTAGTCGGTTTGCAGACTCGGCAAATTGTCAAGCCTTTGTTTGATATTTCTGCACTGTAACCATGGACAAGATACAGCATCCTGACAGAATTTCCTTAAAAATCATGGATCTTATCGTGTTCTCTCATTGAAGATTGACATATTGTATTGTCATTTAGAATTGTGTTAATACAGTATGTCCATTCGGATCTGAAAGTGGAAAGATCATTTTCAAATGGTAATACAGGTGGCTCTTTGTTGGGTTTGTGAACCCCCAAACTTGATGTCAACTGTATATTCGAGAAAAAATGGTTAAGTATCTTTCTGCTTGCTATCAGTATGATGAGATGATTACACTGTTTTTTTAATAATTGATTAAGGCAAGATTCTTTTCTGAAGTTAAAATCAGCTTTGATAATGACATTCCCTCTGTGATCTCACTTGACACATATATCTCCCTTTTGCACATTTCTATGAAATTTTTCTAGTTGAGACATAAGTGAATAGATAAGTGCTATGATTCGATCAGGTACAAATGTTAAATAGACCATTGAGAAAATGACATTGAATTTATCAAAAGATCTGATTGTAACTTTAGCTGCTGTTTGTGTTTATGGCAGTACTCGGTATGAAGATACTGTGTGGTTGCACATTGACAGCACTATTTATTACACCCAGACAAACAGGTCACAGAAGAACTTAATCAAAACTGTATAACCAGGTTATCCTGCAGACAACACATCAGGAATACTTTGTTTACTTTGTTTTATTTCATCAAGATCATTTGCAGTAGTGTTTATTTGACTAAAATGAAAAAAAAAGCTGATCTGTTATTTCAATTTTAAACAAAATCTTTTTGTTCATTGTTTTGTTTGTAATGTCATATGTTAAGAAAATAATCCATAAATGTTTTAGTCTCTCTGGAGGGTATTGTGAATTACAGTTGTGCGCTGAAGGTTTCTTGTTTTTGTTTGTGTATTTCCAGGTTCACAGTTCTGGGTGTTATATGTAATAGAAAACCAACAATCATAATCATAGAAGTGATATCAGTTCCTCTTTTCACCTGTTTATACTGACTAATGCACTCTGGAGTAAAACATATCACACTCATGTTCCTTGTGGACAGAAATTAGCCATTCTGAGAGTGCATCAAATTATTGCATTTGTAATATATTTCCACATGACTGATTTAATAACCAAAGATATTCATTAATTCTACTAGCCTTTCCTCTTTCACAAGTGTGTAAATTATTCTTTGGATGTTTTACCAAGTGTTCACGAAAGACTATCACTTGAAGGCTTCGATGACAAGCTGTCCTAAAAGAGCCTAAATTTGGTTTGTCTGTGTGTTCACTTGAGGCATCTCAGCACGTTCAAATCTGGTTATAATATTATGTTACTTAGACTTAGTTCACTTAATCAAATCTGGTTTGATTGCTTTCATATGTAAATAGTCTGGGTGGGTACATCGTGAATGTTTCAGTCTTTGCAAGAAACAATGCCTCGTTCATTTCTGAGTTTGAACACACCTCAAAAAGTTTATTTAAGGTTTGGAACCTTTCAAGTTGATGCCTTTGTGAAATAAATTGAGGAGACAAGTAAAATGTTTCAATTACTTGAATCAGATGATGAATGGAATTGAGAAAATTGATTTGCTTGTAGTAACTCTGTTTATCTTGCAGGAACAGCTTGCTTGTTCAGAATCTTTCACTGTTCATAAACATAAATATAGTGATTCTATTTCAGGAATCTATAAAAATTCCATGTATGTTGATTCCCATAATCTCTGTAAAGAAATCCAAATCCAGTCCACATGTTTAGTTTTGTCTTTATTATTTATGTGTACTCCTCAATTAATTTGAATTAATTTGAATTAATTGAACAAGTGTATTCTATTTGCTCTCTATTTGAAAATTATGCATGTATATGAATGGTTTAAAATCAAAGGGATTTGCAAATGTCTTCATGAATATATTCAAACTGTTATTCACAGGAATATCTTCAGGTGTATTTGAAACTTACATGTGAATCAGTATGATATTTTTGCCTTGTTAAAATATGCTATGTCTATCTTGTTTTCCTAAGCCCCATGCACACCCTCCCCTGCCCCATGCAGACTCCCCCCTCCCCCACGCTGTGCCCTGGATGAATGTACTGCTATGCAGTAATGTAAATAATATATACAAATGTACAGAGTATCATGCATCTTGATGTATATATTGTTGACAACCCACAAAAAAAATTGAAAATGACATAAGTCACAAAAAAGCATTTTATGTACATATAAAAAATGATCTTGTGTTTTTGAATGTTGAATCAGTATTTTCTCTATTTCTGTCTTCACTGTCTATTGTTTTGTCTTTCTATCTGTTAGCTTCTGTCACCAAAAAGAGTTTTTTTATGATTTTAATTTTGATGAGATGTTGATTTATTTTAACATGTTATCCTAAATTTAACAGCAGTTAGCCAGGTTATGCTTGCTGCTGTAATCTTGTTAGTTTCAAAAAGTAAAAAAAGATTGATTTATATCAGCGTATTCTACCAGACATGTATTTAGACATTCAATAATATTAATTTGAGAATGTTTTGGAAAGGAAAAATAATTTAATTGAATTTTTATGTACCATTTTAAAAGTAGTGTTCATTGAATTGTCCTGATGTATTTTAGGTGAATTAAATGAACTTGCAACAGGAATTCATTAAGTCATAATCTCTTTTAAAATAGCAAATTTTATGTTAATGGTTAAGTAGGCCATTTCATTTTTGGTTGTTTTACTGATATATTGTCAATATATTTGATTAAATAAGTTAAAACAAACTAAACATAAAACAAGTCTGGTTCAGGAAATTATTTGAATAAAAGATCCTTTCTTATATGCTAAATTGCACAAATTAATTGGAAAAAACCCCCAAGAATGTCCAGTGCTAGGGAACAACAGTTTGTTTGGCAAAATCTATAAATGAAATGAATTAGCATTACCTAGGTTATGTATCTGTTGTAAAACTCTTCATTGCTTTAATGAAAAACATTTGGGAACTAGGATCGTTCTTTTATTAACCCGTTGATCAAATCAGTGATTTTTACTGAAAAATACATCCGAGGATTGCTTTTTACCTATTTACTTGTTCAGTATGTTGAAATCTACATGAATTTGGTATAACATGACCAGACTTTCAGAATACACTTTTAAAAAACACAAGATTAGTCTGCAAGTCACAAATTTTTCATTCAAATGTAGAAGATAAAGGAAAGCAGTTTCCATTCACCAGTTGTCTATCATGAAATGTATTTTGTCATTATAAATTTGGAAATAGTATACTTAGACTTCCAGTACTTATGGTCATGTGTAATTTACAGTGGTCCAAATTAAGCATGGAAATCAAGGGGTCCTTGTAATAACCCCAATGTCAAACATTGACATTGTCTCTCCAGTTCATGTGGCAGAGGGGCGGTGGGGTAGCCTAGTGGTTAAAGCGCTCGTCACTCCAAAGGCCCGGGGTGATATTGCTGGAATATTGCTAAAAGCAGCGTAAAACCCAACTCACTCACTCATGTGGTTGAACAGCCCAAGGACCTCATGATCCCTTTAATTTTGAACACTGGGCTAAAAGTACATGGAATCAGGATCATGCCATATTAGTGTCCATACCCTGACTTTAATTCAAGCTGCCCTGTCATTATACTGAAAATAACTTTTATAATTCAACTGTAGAAATGGCTATATAAATCCAATTACAAGAAATAACTTACTCTGCAGTTTAACATGTTAAACAAAAATTTCTAGTAAGTAATACTTAGTAATAATACTTGCTCGCTCAGTGTAGTAGCAGAGAGTACAACTTTAGCATCAGTGGATTATAAATTTATAACCAGAATGTCATTGCCAAGGTGGATTGTGAGCATATATGCATTTGAAATCTTGTGAAGTCTCCCCACAGGCGTTTTTCTCGTTTTAGTGGGTGGTATGTTCATGTGATAATTGTTACAGTAAATTCGGGGTCCAAAATTAAGTCCATAGTTGCCCTCTGAACCAGTTAGCCTTTTCGGTGCTGCAGTGCTCCTACAGTGAGATTGACTGACATCCGCTATATTTATATCTTTATAATTTGTTACAGAAGTTGTGTAATTGTCATAGAAATGGCTATTTGAATCATCGGATTGATTGGACCGGTTCCTAAAGAATGAATGTGGTAGTTATAGCCATTTGATGTTTTGTACCTCAGAAGCATAAAAAGTGCAATAAATAGATCACTTAAGTTAAACTGGTTTAAACAGACAGTACAGCCATGTAGATCATTTATGTAAATTTTAATTCAATAAACATTTCATGCTGATATATTGCCTGTGTTTGTCTTGATGTTCAGTCTTTGGTTTAGCTGCATAGGGGTACAGTTGCCAATCTGTTGTCCTAATATTGATTATGGCTGCTTGAAACTTGTATTAAAAATGCTTATGGGGCAGTTTTGGTAGCCTTGTGGTTTGCTCGTCATCTCATGCAGAAGATCCGGATTCGATTCCTCACAATGGGTACTATGTGTAAAGCACATTTCTTATGTCCTCCGCTTTCATATTCCTGGAATATTGCTATTAGTTAAAAATGGTTTTGCCAACTGCAGATATTCATTTCATAATATACCTGATTAATCTTGCTTTGTCAGCACAACACACTTGCCAAAAACAGCCTCCGTGGTGTAGTGGTTAGAGCGTCTGCCCGAGAGCGGGAAGGTCGCGGGTTCGATCCCCGACCGCGTCATACCAAAAGACGTTAAAATATGGTACTTGTTGGTCCCTGCCTGGCGCCCGGCATTAATGGGTACAACAAGGACTGGTCGGCTCGGAGTCAGTATAATGTGTCTGAGTGGGGTATTCATGCTTTCACTGCGGCATGGTATCTCAGTGGGTTAGCACTATAAAACCAGCTTCAGTCTGGGCTAGTACAAGCAGCCGCATATACACATACACACGCACGCACGTCGTCATATGAGCGAAATATTCTCGAGCACGACGTTAAACCAAATTTCACCTCACCTCACTTGCCACAAATGTGGTACATGGTGTATGTTATGCCTTGGGGTCATGTCCAAAAGGGATAGGGAACAGGATTAAGGCCAGTTGTCAGTCTTGGAAAACTGAATTAGGTGACTGAAAAAGAAACTTGAATGTTATGGCCTGTATCAACATAGCAGATATAGTGATTACCATCCTTATGTTTTCACACAAGTCTACTTGCTACATCTCTCCAAACCCAACAACCACCCCCTCTTCTCTCCCCCCCCCTCTCAGTGTGTTCATATGATTTGTTTGTATCTGCCCCTCACTCAGCTATTGTGTAGTTATATATCTGGGGTCTGTAAATCAATGTTTGGACCAGACAATCCAGTGATTGACAGGCATCAAACACATCAGCGAGCTAAGTCGGCAAGCCAGACCACACGATATGTCAGTAGTCTTTTACGATGTCATTGGTTATTGACCAATTCTAATCATTTTTTTTTTCATCATAAAATTATTCCATGTTGGACCACAGTAGGTCCAGGTAGACTTATATATAACAGGCAATTTGTATCAAATACATACCTATAT